TCAAAGTGTGATTAACTATACAGAATAACTTTGAAATTGATCTAAATTATGACTACTTTTAATTCACCGGTCAATTAAACAAATCTAGTAGCCTCGTAGAAAATACTCGTAGTTTTTGTTCTCTTTTTTCTTTTTCTTCATCTACGTTAAGCAACAAAAAAGACATGAAATCTAATAAAGTTTTTTTTTGTTTTTACATAAATTCCTAAAACCCGGTTAGAAGAATAGCAAGGATTAGAAAACCTAACCGGGTAAATGTTTTGCAACTAAATTAAACCAAGCTAAGTAGTCTTCAACAGATCCATGCAACCCTTTGAAGTGCCTCTTTGATCATTCCTGGTGTAGCAATTTTTGATCCCTTATGCTGAAACCAAAACATTTCACCATATGTCAATCCCGGTTTATCATCCAAATCCCGGTTAAGTTAACAATAGGTTATAGAGATTGTACCTTGCAATTGACGGTTAAGCAGAGCAAACCGTCTCCGGTCGAGGATTGTACCGAGTGAGAATCCAAGTTGAGAACACTTATCACATCCATTATCTCAAGCAATACCCCTTCTCTCCAAGCACATCTTAGCTCAATAACCACCTCGTTACCAAACGAACCGATCCTTAAATTATCGGTTAGACCAGTATGACCGGTTTCTGCCGGTTCGACTTCTCCAACAGGAACTCTCTTCCCGTTATCGGTTTCATTGTTTGTGCAATTGGCTGATGTTCTTTCTCCTGCATCGTGCGGTTTCTTCCTCTTCATTGCCATTGTCCCACGGGTTTCTGTATCGGTTGATTCTCTGCAAGATTCTAGTTCTTGAACCCGTCTTTCGAGTTCTTGAAGGTACTCTATTGTATCATCAAGAATCGATACTTTGTCGATCTATCGAAAATGTTAAACCTAGTGCTTAGTTCCTTATTATATGATACGGATTTGAAATTATGAAATTTTTTGGTTTTGTAGAGATATACCTTGTTGATTGAAGGGATGATTGATCTCAAGATCATGAACCGTTCGTTCAATTTCTCACGCCGTTTCTTCTCTAAACCCGCGTGGTTCGCGGTTTCATCCCCGACCTCTGGTGAATCCAACAACAATTTCTCTTTTTGATGAGCTAGTGGAACCTCGAAAAGGATATTCTTTATCATTCTTTGTGATGATGGTGCAACCGCGGCGGTTCT